ATCCATTATAAAACAAGCAGGAAGACAGGAAGTTGGGGAGAAATGTCATTGGATCCTCAGGCACTCCACACCTTCCACAATTAAAAGGTTTTTGCTTAAGTAAACTTTCAAAAGGCAAGACTGTACTAGCCAGATGGGCTTCCACAGATAAAAGGAGAACAGCCCTAGAAAGGAGGTCCTGAACTTCACCACCACATAGCAGGACTCTTGATTGCGAGGACACACAAGGCAGGAGAATATCTAACTATCTTACTGCGGAGCTGTATAACTTAAGGCCTGAGATTTAAATCCAGCCATGTGAATTTCCTCAGATGCTCATGGCTGCTTCTTCTGGACCACCTCTTTCTCCTGGCTGCCAACAATTTTGTAGCTTCCAGACTTTTCTGCATTTTCCCCCATTCAAAAATGTTGAAATGCCTCTTCTCAGGTTTAGCCACTGGAAGTAAGATCATCAGGCTAAATATGCTCTTTCTTTGGCATCTTTGGCACTGCTTTCTTCCTTGATCCAGACGATCCCTGGCATGTGGCCTTGAAGAGCTTCTCTAAAAATTGATTTTGGCCATTCAGCGGAAAAGAGACCTTGCACTATTGTGTAAAAGCATGATAGAGAACATTTGACATGCGGCAGAATTTATTTATTTACTTGCTTACTTATTAACATTATTTTAAAACTGCCCTTGTTCTAACCACAAAGAGGCTTACATAGGTAATGCATGCAATACAAAACAAGTTGAAGGTATAAAGATTGCAGAGCAAGCCCTACCTTCCACTTTTCTCAGAACTGAATATGGAGATTTTCATATTTCTCAATTCCATATTAAAACTTTGCATAACAACATTTCAGAGAATATGGTGTCCCTGCTGAAGGTACAGCTTGTACAATATGTCTCAGTCTGAGTAGAAGTGCCACTCCTCCCAGAAGGAGAAGAGAGGATCATTGTGTTTATCTCAGTTTATTGGATGCAATCTCAGACTGCTGAGTTCAAAAGCCACCTGAGTCATTGGCTCCCTGAGGACCACTTTGCACTTTACAAAATTCCTACATGTGCTAAATATGTGTAGATCATAATGTGTGGTGACCCTGCTGAACATAATTTACAGCACATACATAGAGTCGCACACATAATGATCTATCTGCAAAAAAATTACTCTGTGTACCTATTCTGGGAAGCCAGAAATGGCTGCAGCATCCTGGAATGTGCCTGTGTAGGTTTGCGACATGTTATCATCCAGTTGAGTATCACATACTAATTCCTACACAGTTGTCAGAATTTTGTTACAGGCTGGAAGCTGCCATATACCTTATGGTTTCAGTTGCTCACCTTTAATATAGGAAGTAGGGAGTTTGAAGGGAGTCTCTTCATTCTAGCTCATGGGTATGTTCTGGCATAATTAAGAAAGAGAACTATGAGAAGTGCTTTGTAAATAAAGGGTTTATGCCTTGAGTTCTTGGCAGCCCCAGTTCTAATTTTGTGGGTCACTGGGGAGCAATTTGGGACATAACTGAAAGGGACACCCTAGTGGTCTCCCCAAAGGTACCCTTATATTCCTGCTTAAATAAACAAATACCAGACATGTGAAATGAATTGGACCTCTGTGCATTAGAGGTCTGTAGGGAGCTGGATAAGGGATTTTCTCAATTTGTTCTCCTTGGTCCCAGTTCTCCAGTCCTGTGCTGGTGTTGACTTGCTGTGGTGTGAGTTTAAAAAGAAAGCTCAAGAAATGTGCACCAATTGTGCCAGTTCAATTTGAATAAATTGCATGATTTGTGCAAATATCTTTAGTTGTAGATTTTTCAAAATGAGCATATTGCAGCTAGACTTGGGCTACTCCTAATCAGATCAGAAGTGGGCAGGAAATCTATTGCACTCAAACAAGCCCAATTTTCTGTTGTTGGCACAACCCTGCTCAGCACGCGTAGCGTGCCTGTTCCAGTGGCAGCCATGTCATTGGCCATACATGTTAATTTAAAAGCTGTCTGTATGTCATATGTATATGAGAAAACTTTTGGGGAAGGGAAAACATGTTCTTTCAATCCAATAATTTACCTGGGATATATTTGGACTGCAGGTGGGAACACCAGTACACTGTAAGCAAAACCTGTTTGTCACGGTGCATCATGCCTGCTTCCTGGCACTCTTCTACCTTCATTGCAATGCCAATTCAATTCAGTACAACAAAATGCAAGTATATATGGTGCGGCCCTGAAGTGAGGATAAAGAGACCAAATGGAGAAAACCAAATTAGGGTGGTGAGAACCAGTTCCTCAATAAACCCAATTAGTTCTTCATTGCTTTTGTGGCAGAGGTAATACTGTGACTGACAGAACGGAGGTATCCTTTTCTAGGCCTTCAATTAATTAATTGACTTTCAGTTTATGGCCTAAGCGGAACTGTTTTTCCTGCTGTTCCTAGCCTGTTTTGTAGCAGGATGTAGAAAATCCATGCAAATCCATTATTATTTACTATGTACATATTCCAGCTTTCCTCCGAGGAGTTCAGGACAGCATACATGGCTCTTCCACCCCCCGTTTATTTTCATAACTACCCTATGAGGCACATTAGACTGGGAGACAGAGACTGATCCAAGGACCTCCAGTAAACTTTGTGGCTCAGTGGGAATTTGAACCTGGGTCTTGCCAGTCTAGTCAAGCATTTGAACCACAATACCACCCTGGCTTTATTGATCACAGTCCAAGAGCCTCCCTTCCTTGGAGAAACTTATATAGGATTAGTATAAAAAAGAAGGACCTTTAGCAGAATTACAATGAATGGTGAGTTAATACTGAGACAGTGAAATTGGTTTGACGAGCACATTATTAGAGGAAGGGGCTTTGATCCCAGGTCTCTTGAAATTGCCGATACGTGCATATTTACTGTTGCTTGTCTACAACTGGATGTTTTTACAATGATCTCCCATGCTCGGGTGGTTTGGAAGACAGGAACATACCGCAAACATTAATATTTTATGGAAAATTCTAGATAGAGGAAACACAGCCTTAGAAAGTATTTGTGTTCAGAGAGAGGCCCAGTTTGCACTGATAAAACATGTACTACAAGGCATTGTTTTGGTGGTGGTGATGGTGGTTTTGTACTGGATTTCTTTTCAGAAATCCAGAAATGATCCAGATTGAAATGGTGATTATCCAAGCCTGATTTTCAAGAGGAGACATCATTTGCGGTAGGGCTCACAAGAGGTCAGTTGGCATAAACAAGCAAGCAAGCAAGCATTCATCCTGTTGCTTTTTGGTTATATGTCTAATCTATGGGCATATGTTGTTTGGTATAGCCTTTTGTGTTTGACTGGGTTAGAGAGGGTAGGTAGATGGGATTGCTTTATTATAATGTAAGTTTGACTCCTGGTTTGGGATTGATTGTAGGCATTTCAGTGCCTTTCAGCTTCATTTCTTCATTTTGTATAATAGTATGTGAGGTCTATTTTTGTTAAGTTATATCATCTAGGGTTTTTCTGAGGCTGCATTCAATATATAGCTGCTTGCCCCAAGTCTTGAAGATATGGTAGGCCATACAACAAGAACAGCAGTCCTGAATTGCAGATGGGGAAGTATCCATGGAGGGTACCCATCACTTCCTGTTGCCTGCTGGATTGTGCCAGCCAGGAGAAACAGGCAGTCAGTTTTTTTCCTTTCCCAACTTTCTATGTATACTCTGTAAAATGTCCCTCTTACTGCTTCTGTTGGGACATTGATTCACTGTGCCAATTTCAGGACTAGTGTAGGCCTTCCTTCCCCCCTTCTGGAGACTTGTGGGAATGAGGGGGCTTAGGAGACAGAGGATCCAACATTTCCCTTCGTTTTCCCAAATCAGCCCTTTTTCTTTTACTGCCAGAACAGCAAGAGTGGAAAACCCATGACAGTGGTTTCCGTTGCCACACAAGGAGGTCTCTGGCGTCAGACTTTCTTCTTGTGGAGAGGGGCTTCCACAGCATTCTGAAACCTGGGGTCAACCCCCTCCCCCACAGGATCCATAGGATTAAAAGGAAGAAAATGGCTGTGGTGGAAATTGCAGGAATTATATAAACAAGGAGGCTGTAAAGTACACTTTGCAGCTTTTACAGAGCATCTGCATCTTCCAGGAGAAAACATGCTCATCTTGGAGTAAAGCAATGCATTATTTGTCAGGTAGGGGCGGGAGAGAGCCTTGCAAAGAAACACATTCCCTTGTATCTTTATAATTGGGATGTGTGAGGCACCCTGCTTTAGATCAGCTCCAAATTCAGAACAGTGGTGAACTTCCGTTTTAAACCAAAGCTTACTCTCCCCCCCCACCCCCATTCTACTTTAGCTGCCCTTTAATTCTCTTCCACATCAGCAGATGAAGTCAGACCTGGGTGTTTCTTGTGTTTCCTTAAATACCAAGAAGACGACAAAAGATGTTTAAAACAGCTTTTGTGCTTGATGGTTGTGGGAGGGAAGCATTACAAAATATGCCCTTTTCTAGGATGTATCAGCTCTCACACCTTCCTGGAAAATACAAAAGGGCAAAATAATAATTAAAAAAACTCCTAAGAATGAAGAAAAAACTCTTTAAGACAATAGAAGACCTTGTTTCTGTGTCACTTTCCACGTCATATGAAAATATTTTTCCAAAGTTTTGAAAGAAAAAAAAATCAGTGGTATCTGGATTAAAAAAAACACACACACACACAACAAAGTTATTCCTTCCCCACTCCCTTCTCTTTCCTTAAAAAAAAAGAAGAGAGAGTTTTAAGAATTTTACTTTTCTATTCACTGCAGTCCTGGCCAAAGTAAAACCCTCTTTTACATTGACGTCAAGATCTTTACTAAGATTAGGGTTTCATTTCTCTATTGCAGCAATTAGCCAGGGAATGTATAAAAGGCTTGAGGGAACCAAGCTAGAACTCCAGAGGGAAAGCACTTTGTACCACAGGCAGATAGCGAGAGGGAGAGAGAAAGAAGAGTGGCGGGGAGAGACGGAGAGAGATGCAGTGAGCAAGAGAAGAGCAGAAAGTTTGTGTTCAAAGTCTTTCCTCCCCCACAGAAAAGTATTGTTTCACCTGATAGCTTTGGTGATAAAGGAATGAGGGAGCTGCAATAGCTCAGAGTTAGAGGAAAAGTTAACAGTTGTTCTGCTTCAGTTTTAGAACTGCAGGCAATTGGCAGCACAGCTCTCTCTCTCTCTCTCTCTCTCTCTCTCTCTCTCTCTCTCTCTCTCTCTCTCTCAACAGACTGAAAAGGGCTACTGGCTAAGGAAAAACAACAACAGTAGTTTGACTTAGTTTCTGAAAAATTAAAGGCTGTTCAGGGTGGAAAGACTTTCATGCTGGCATTTTGAATTACTTTTTGAAAGCAGCTCTTCTGCACTGAGACAACTTTATGAGACAGGAGGTAGGGGCACGACGAGTTTTTAAGAAGCACCTTGTGTTTTATTTTATTTTTATTTTAATGAGGGTACAGGGCATGACAAGGGAACTCAAGGGAAGCTTTTGAAGAGCAGCAGCCGCAGCAGCAGCAAACAAGATGGGTCTGTTAAGTGTGGACCTGTTGATCACGCTTCAGATACTGCCGGTTTTTTTCTCCAACTGCCTCTTCCTTGCACTCTATGACTCGGTGGTCCTCCTGAAGCACATGGTGCTTCTCCTAAGCCGCTCCAAGACTGCACGTGGCGAGTGGCGGAGGATGCTCACATCAGAGGGGCTGCGCTGCGTCTGGAACAGCTTCCTCCTAGACGCCTACAAGCAGGTGGGTTTGCGGGCACAGGGTGGAAGAGTGGTGTGGACAGACAGGGTTTTGTGTGTGGACACTGGTTTCTGCTTTAGGTAGAGATGGGAACTGGGATAAAACATACACAGTGTTGGCCAGAAGAATCCAAGGAGATTAAGTATTATGGTGTGAGGTATTTAGCACAGAAAGTGAAAGAGCCAGGATACGAACTCTGAAATTCCTGCCTCTTGATTTTGGGCTTAGCTTATTCAAATGTGTGGCTTCATTAAGATTGTTTTTAAAAGAGGGAGTGGAATCCTCTCTAATTAAGCTGTATGGGTTGGTTATTCTGTGTTGCCTTCTTTCTGACCCATTATAGCATTCTAGTAACTCTTTTTAGGGATCTAAATCTTAATGATACTGTATGAACTTTTCTCTCACACACCCCTCCCTAATGCCCTAGATGCAGCATAATAAATATATCAATGCATGTCTTTCTTTAGAATATTTTTGTGGGTACAAATATGTGCAGGACTGCAGACTGAATGAGCAAACATTGAATCACAGTGTTCCCCCTTCACAGCTATCAAAATGAGCCAGTCCACCAGCTCCAAGAAAATAATATTTTGCTGATAGTGCTTGGTGCTTCTAGTTGATTTCAGCAGCTAGACAGAATTGAAATTAAATAAACTTCTGTATGCCAAAACAAGACAGTTTGCTATTATTCTCATTTTGCAGATAGGACTAATGCAATGGACAAGATTACTGTCCAGCGTGGAGCTCTCTCTCACACGCACCATGTGCAAAGTTTGCATAGGGGAACTTAAAATTCTCAGGCAGTTAGTGAGCAGGACGCTTTCAGTGCTTGTTTCAGTAAATTGACTGGGTGGTCCTCAAAGAGATTCTCCAGTGGGAACTCCCCATTAACTCTGCAACCTCCTGCTGGAGCAAGTGAAGACTGGGTTAAAAGATTCAGCAGCTGAACACAATGACACACCTGCAGTGATGCCTCTTTCCTTACCTGCCAACTTTTCATTTAACCACATGGTGTTTCCTTTGCTATGACTGATAGGATCACCAACACGTACAGTAGTAGGAAGTGCAGTGCTTGCTTTTACTGGTTTAACTAACAAAACACGTCTTAAACTCTACACTAAGAAAATAGTCTTTCAGAAATGGTAAAAATTCTATGCCCAACTTTGGGTATAAAACTGAATTAGCCACTGGGTTGTATAACTAAGAAGCTTATACTACTAATCTTAGAGAAGAGTGCTCCAATTCTTTTGATTGGGGTATGGGAGAATACACTTGGTTCTCATTCCTGTACAACAAAATCACAGGGACAATCATATGAAAGCAGACAGTAGTGTGACAACTGCTAAGAAGCTGGTTATGCAGGATAATCTTACCAACTAGCCATTCCTGTGATGTATGCATACTTCTGAAGGATCCCTTGCACCATGGAGAGCTCCCATAGTAAAATATGGAGTAACATGGGGGTTATGTACCCAGGGATAATCATCTTCACATAGAATGTTTCCTACACGATAAGCAGAAAAATCCTCAAATAAATGAGCTCATTGGACAGTTAATCACTATGGTAAGGTTCTTGAAAAAAGGTTTTTTTTGCACCATATTGGATTATTGGTATCATAATCTAAGCAGAAGACTGAAATCATAAAAATATTGATTAATTCTGAGAATATTTCAGTAACAAGGGTACACTTTTCATTGCAGATTTTACATAGATAAAAACTTATAATGACCTTCTGGGACTTGCCTTGAGCACAGTATTAATGTCTCCAAGTTAAAACAAGGTACCAAGAACAGTTTTCTGTGAAACAGTTCCGTAAAAGTGCCCTTGACATAAACTATGCCAGGATATCTATTGATTTTTTCAATGGGGTGCTTTTCATCTCAGCCAGTGGAAAATACTGGGGTAAACATACCCCATGCATTCTTTCAAATAAAAACAGATCCAGGAAAACAGACTTAAATGCCCACGTTTTGACATCACACACATGGATTTGTTTGGGGACATTTTATTATTCCCTGAGCTACATTAAAATTGGACTTGTGATGGTAAAACATCTCAAAAAGAATTTGTGTTAGTAAAGTTTATATTTTTTAAGAGCTACTTACCACAAGATAAATATGAAGTAGGATAATTACTGCCTAACTGCTCTGATATATGCATTTGTGTTGGGACACCACTCTGGGATCCCTGGAGTAATATTTAATTTATTTTATAACAATTGTACTGCTTTTGAACTATAATAGTTTTCTAAGAAGTTCACAATAATACAATCAATGCCTCACAGTTATGAATTGTATTACATATCCTGAAGTATCTAATCAAAATGGTTCCACCCATACCTGAGAGGGAGACTTGGAGGAAGAACAAAAAGTATTGATGTAAGAAAAAGAATTTCTGTGGGGGTGGGGGGATATCCAGAAATAGCCCTGTGAAGACTGAGGGTACTCATTGGCCAGAGAAGGCAGTATGGGTTTTGGAGAAGGAGAAACTAGAGGGCCTGGGGAATAGTCTTCCTCAACTTGGTGCTTTCCATATGTATTGGGCTGCGCTTCATCCCCAGCTAGCATCAAGTTGTGGAAGACTAGAGTATCCTGAGAGAAGGTCTAGTGTGTTGGCTGGAACCCTGAACTCAAGTACTTCAGGCTGCCTTGTTTTGTTGCAGGCCCAACTGGTACTTTCTGAATATTGTTTCTCTAGTGGTCAGAGAGCATTCCTGGGGCCAAGAAGACTAGCCTCTTATTTAAGTTCTCTATCTTTGGGATAGCAAATGCTGTTGATGATCCTGTGATATCATGGGCTTCTATTCTGGTCACTTTAGAGAGGGTAGTAGCCAAGGAAACATGTGTTCTGTAGTACCTGATGACCCTGTTGCCCTCCAGGTGTTCCCAGCCCCCCCTCCCCCGCACCATTGCTCTTCAACACACCTGGTCTCCAGGTTGGAGGAAGGCTGTACTACAGAGTTTTCTCCTTTGACTGTCCAACAGCTCCTCCTGATGCTGATAATGCTTGGTTACTTTGGGGAGATGTTATCAGTGGTATGTACAGTCCTTTCCTCAGCCCTCTGTTGCTTACTAGGACCGCAGCAGTAACCTCTTAGCTTATTTCTAGCCCAGAACCTATTTCTTAACAGCTTTATGATCAGTGGTCAGTTTCTTTTCAGTCTCTCGCCAGGGCTTCCTCACCTAGGCAAATATCTAACTGCCTTTGCATCTGGGTCTGATCCCCCTCAGTGGCCCTGGTAACAACAGACAGTCACGGAGGAGAGATGTTCCTCAGAATCTTCTCACCAGTCTTCCTGCTGCATGTAGACAGTGTGTAGACAGTGCATATTGTACAGGAGTTGATCAAGTCATGGCATACATCTTCCTGGTAGCCTTGAGCAATGAGGAGAAGGAAAAAGGAGTCATGATGAGGTTCAATTTTGTTTCCAAGAATAGTCTTTCCATATTTTATACACCACACTGCTAATGTGTTTGAGCAACGCCCAAGTGCCCTACTGCATAATGTAATGAACTATACAATAACATCCTATTTTTTGAGACACCTTGTGGAAGGCCAAAATGTGATGTAGAATAACAGGGTGGAATGGATAAAGGAACTGAATGGAAGGCCAGGCAGCACTGGGAGATGGAGAAGAAGAGCAAAGAAAAGAACCTCTCCCTTTACTAAGCTTGCTTTTAATTAACATCTCATTGACTAATATCACTTCCAGATGTGAGATATGACTTATACATTAGACTTGTTTTGTAAGGTGCCTTTGAAAGTAGCAAAAGTAGACCTCTTAATACAGTTACATTTAGGGCAAGAACAGCCATTAGCAATTGTACTAAGTTTAAAGCTGAGGGTGCAAAAACATTATTTAATGGACTTATTTAATACATGGCCAATTTCTTGCTGAAGCTGGCATGTGCTGCTTGCTTCTGTTTTATTAGAGAGAGCTTTGGATGATTCTCTCTTGTTTGCCCAATTTTTCTCATTTGTCTATTTTTACCCAACTTTACTAGGTTTCTACACACTTGCTGAACTTTGCTTTCCAATTTGAACACTAGCCAGATTCAGTGTGGATTTTTGCTGCACTGTTCCCTCCTTATCATTTGAATAGCAGCCCCCAGGAGGCAAGCACACCCTGTGTCGCACAGAGAGGTTCTTTATAACAAGGCTAATTATCATAATGAGGGTTAATGGAGCCAGTGTTTAAGGCTGGGTATCTTTACATTATAGAAGAAGAGTTCAAGGAGAGGGCTTGTTTCTGAGGACACCTCACACTCCCACTCCAAAAGGCTCTGTAACATTCCTGGATGCCATTAGGACAAAAAAAGGCTGCTGTATTCCATCACATGTTTAAAGAATGATGTGACTGCTGGGAAAACATGATGACTAAAACCCTTGATTGTATATGTGGAGGATATCCACAATATTCCTAAGTTATATAGGTCATCCAGATGTGTGCCAACATAGACTTTGCGGCAGGCAGTGCCACTAAGTTTGATCTATGCACAGTGACACATATGTTTATAAGTAAGGCAGACAACCCACCAGTCAGTGCTGGGTTCTTTGAAGAAAAGAAATGTTTCCCTGTATAACAGGTTATGTTTCAGCACTGCGTGGAGCCTGGTTTTATGAAATCCAGCAAGGAAGAAGGAAATAACATACAGCAAAAAAACATTTTCAAGTGGCCTAACATTGAATTACTGTACAAGACCTAGTACAAATATAAATGTTCAAAGCTTTCATGACTTCAAAAGCAAATGGAGTTTGTTAAGCTTGAGTGAATAGCTAAGAACACTCCCCTCCCCACCTCTACAGGGTCTTTATTTTATTGTGCTCTCCATAGATTGCGTGTGTATGTGTGTGATCCTCAGGAAACCAAGCCTCACGCAGGACAAGCTGGACCTTTCACTCTCGTTGCATGATCAGTACAGGTGTTGTCTGAAGTCCCACAGGCTGATCTTAGTTTTCTTCTGTGACAGCAGTGATGAGAAGAGTCTCCAGGGCTGAAGAC